AAACCATTTCAGGTGACTACCTCTTGAAGCTCATGGAGAGAATGCCAAGAGTGTGCAAAGCAGTAATCAGAGCAAAGGGTGGCTATTTTGAAGAAACTAGAATATAAAACATGTTTTCAGTTATTTCACCTTTTTTTGTTAAGTACATAACTCCACATGTGTTCATTCATAGTTTTGATGCCTTCAGTGAGAATCTACAATGTAAATAGTCATGAAAATAAAGAAAACGCATTGAATGAGAAGGTGTGTCCAAACTTTTGGCCTGTACTGTATATACACATACATACATTTATACCCACGAAAACTGGCATATTAAACTGATATTAAAACACTTTAAAACGTAGGCTCCACCTCTGTCGGGATCCTTCGGGAAACGGTGGAAAGCCAGGTGCGGGGTGTTCCACTGATAGCTGTTGCAGTTAATTGCACTACACTGTTTTCTTTTACTTTTTTTTCTCCTCTCTCCTTGACATCTTGCATGTTGTCTGGGCGCAACAGTCCAAGCTCAACAGTCCAAAATGGCGGTAGAGCCCCTAGTGGCTGTTGGCAGAAATTCAACGGAGCTTCGGCTCTTGGTATCCATGCTCTTTGACTAAACGGCCCCAGACTAGGGATTGCCCAATAGCGAAGGTACGAGGGCGGAACATGTAGTCATAGAGCTAGGGTTGCACATGTAACTACTGTTTCTCAAGAAATGAAAGTAACCTACGCGCCTGACGTGAACACCACCTGTCAGTTTCCACCATTTCCACGGACAACACGGACTTCTCAGCAGGTAAAGTTCAAGTGCTCTGATACTCTAAGCTAAATATGACCTTTAAGAATCTTGTAGCCCCTGTCCATGATGGTAAACATCGAAATTACACCGCAATAGGCAGCGTTTTGACAGTGGCTCTGGTATTTCTTGTAACCAGGGCCACTGATTACAAATAACATGATTTTATGACATGTTTATTGTTGAGCTCAAAGGATGTTTTCTTTCATTGTGTTTATTTGCCTTCTGACACTGGCGCATTTCCAGCATACGTTTCAATTCTTACAGTTTTTGCAGTAGTGATCAAACCGGATGTGATAGCCTATATACTGTAACCATGAGTCTATCTATTATAAGAGGGACAGTTTATTATGAGATACTCCTATGCTCCACTAAATTCACTCCGACTTTGCGTCGTCATGATCAGCGAACATGGAAAGGGGGAGAGGGAGTCCAGCTGCAGCCAAGCAGTCTCTTCAAGACGTGCACACTCAGATACATGCGCACGACGGTGGCTGAGGAAGACCAAAATAGACCATAGCGGATCAAAAAATAGATTGAAAATGTTTTCATATTTAAATTTAATCAATAAATAAGAAGAAATAAAAGTTAAACATAAGAATTGTGTTACCCTAACTGGTAAAAATATATCTATACATAAATTTACAATACATACAAAACAAATACAATACATACAAATACATTTTTCTTGTTTCTGACACCCCTCTCTCCTCTCCACCTCCCTATTTCCCGTTGTTATACCACAACACCCCTGATGGACTTAAAAATGTAGTTCTTATGTTCTGTGTTGTGAATGATTTAACTTTTGCAACTATCACATTTCACATTATGGGGTCATTTAAGTTGCATTTAACCTGAAATCTCACATTGTACTTTGTGGTTTGGTATGTTCTTGATGAAGTGAAGCCTATTCCTTTCACCATAACTTCCAAGGTTTCCAGAAACTGGTTTGTTGGAGTTCACTAAGGGATTTTATTTTATTTTATTTTATTCTATTTTATTTACTGCAAAAAACTCAACATGGTGTTCTGGCAACATTCTCTTGAAGATTGAATCCAACCTAGAGTATATCTACAGCAGTATTTAATTCAAATCTTGACAGAAAACCATATTTTCCATAGTGGTAACATCTCTGCACAGTGTGCTGCTATCATGCTCTGACCTGCATATTGTATTTGGATGCTTTTAGCTAAAGAAGAAGGCTATTTGAACACCAAAAACAAGTATCACTTGAAAACCAACCTCCTATTGCAGGATATGACAGGCAGGTGTTACGAACTTTGAGCACCCAAAACAAGTATCACTTGAAAATTGACCTCCTAAACAGGGAAATGGTAAAAAAAAAAAAAAAAAAAAAAAAAGTTACATATTTAATTTACACATTTTTCAGGTTGAAATTGAAATTATAATTGTCAAATCCTTTCCTCTCATGTAGACATGGCCACCGCCAGCAGCCTCCCATGTGAAGAACAACTCCTGTGTTCAATCTGTCTGGATGCATTCAATGAACCTGTCTCCACTCCGTGTGGACACAACTACTGCAAGTCTTGTATCACAGGGTACTGGGCCAGCACTGACCTGATACATTGTCCACTCTGTAAGAAGAAGTTCCGCAAGAGACCTCAGCTTCAGGTCAACACAGAGTTCAGAGACATGGTGGAGCAATTCAACAACATGAAGGTGAGGGGTGAAGATGACATCCCTGCCAAACCGGGGGAGGTGCCCTGTGACATCTGCCTTGAGCCGAAGCGCAAAGCCCAGAAGACGTGCATGGTGTGTTTGGCCTCGTACTGCCAGACTCACCTGGAGCCTCATCAGAGAGTCACAACCCTTAAAAAACACCAGCTGATTGGTCCTGTGTCAAACCTTGAGGACAGGGTGTGTAAGAAGCACGACAAGATGTTTGAGTTCTTCTGTTACACAGACCAGGCGTGTATTTGTTCCATGTGCCTGAAAGACGGCCACGCAACACATGAAGCCGTCCCATTAGAGCATGCGTTCAGAGAGAGGAAAGCCCAGGTGGACTACATGATGTCAGAGATAAAAGTGATGGAAAACACAAAATCCAGGAGTATTAAGGAAATCAAATACTTAGTTGAACAGAGCAAAAGAAGGTCAGAGAAAGAGATAGCAGACATTTCTGATATTTTCACTGCTCTGCTGGTCTCTCTGCAAAAAAGCCAGGCTGAGCTGATTGAGGTGATCCAGGAGAAGCAGAAAGCAGCACGGAAGGAGGCTGAAGACCACCTGACAAAGCTGGAGCAAGAAGTTGCTGAGTTGAGGGGGAAAAGATTTGAAGTGGAACAACTCTTACAAACAGACGACCACTTCAGCCTCCTGCAGAGCTGGCTGTCTCTCTCACACACTGAGGGCATATTTGACCCTCTGTCCCACTCCATCCCTCCATCTACACCAGACTTCTCTGACATGAATCAGCAGAGTTATGTGAGGATGGTGAAAAAAGCAGTGGCTCAGACAGAAAAGATAGCCAGTAATGAGATGGAGATGCTCATTCATGAGGTCAGGTTATCTGATGGTTGTGAGGCCACTGAGCAGCCCAATGCAGCTGAAGAACATACAACAGATGAGTTTGTCAGAGAAGTGTGGACTCCACCTCAGGACAAGCTGATGATGATCCAGCAGTGTCATGCAGTAGATGTGACTCTGGACTCCTACATGGCCCATTCCCGCCTCGTGGTGTCTAAGGATGGGAAACAACTGAGATTTGGTGAAGGCCTACTGCATTTTTTTACATCTTTATTTTGGGCAAGACCTGCAGGCCAACCTTTAGTTCTTGGGAAAGAGGGTTTTAGCTCAGGCAAGTTCTACTATGAGGTTCAGGTCAGTGGGAGTAAAGGTTGGGTACTGGGAGTGGTTAAAGAGCCCAATATCAAGGAGAAGGGTTTCACTCCCACCTTGAAAGATGGAGGCTGGACACTTTGTGGCGTGTACAATGAATTCAAAGAGGAATGTTTTGCTAACTCTGATAGGTCCTCTCTCGTGTACCTGGGGCAAAGGCCTCAGACAGTTGGTGTGTTTGTTGATTATGAGAAAGGAGAGATCTCTTTCTATGACGTGGACGCCAGGACTCTGATCCACTCCCAAACAGGATGTGCCTTCATTGAGAACCCATCAGCTTTCAAAGCTTTTCTCCATTACATGACTGGCACATCCTCAAATAACAGACCAAAGCTCTACCCTGTTTTTGCTTTCGCTAATGATGACTCTGACAACATGCTCAAAATCACTCCTGTAGTCTGTGCAACTTAAAGCGGGGGAAGGCACTTTAATTTGGCATCACTGGGCAAAAATCCCACGATAAACTTGGAGCATGTTTTAATTTAAGTGGACTGAGAGGAAATTAGACTTCTGCCCCTCCTCTTGGCTCTGTTGTTAGACTTTAGATAATCTAGGTTGTGACAGGAGACTTTGGCCACTGACAGGTCATTTCAGAGAGAGGGCATTTATATGGGCTGTTCTACAAATGCAGATGCGTTTCTATGTCCCCTCAGATGGCAAAAGCCTGATTCAGTGCATTTAATTCTGCAGAGGAAGTTGCTATTCCAGCATTGGCAGCAGTGCCTACACTGCAAAGCAACGCTAAAAAGGGAAGATGGCATCAAAAAGAGGAAAAGATTCTAAAATTAAATGAAACAAACCATGTGTCAATTGTGGCAAGAAGATGTTGCTAATAGTTCAGCCTTCTGCTGACAGTAGCCAAAGGCTACTTCAAATTCATGTTTAAGTAGCTAATGTTAGCTAGAGCCTTAAATCACAGTGTGACCTCCGCCTCGCTCCTCACCGCTACAGACCACTTAGCCGGGAGGAGAGCTGCAGTGGTCCCAGAGACAGACCCCAGCCAATGGCTGCAGCAACTTGAGCTCAGCCAGTGATGGGGGACTGGACTGCTCCAAGTCTATTGCTGGTGTTACACAAGTTAGATCCAGTGCTGCCGCTGCCAGAGACTGTGTCATATGAATTATCTGTGAGCTGTAAATTCACCACTTCCAAGCAGAAAATAGAAGAGCTGTCACTCCGTAGCAAAATCTAGGGACCAAAACATCCCTAGAATGACACTGCACAGGACACTGAATAGCGAAAAAAACAAAAAACAAACTAAGTCTTGACTTGAAGCAATCTCAGTCAACTGAGGGGTCTCTGACTGATGACTCAAATCTTTGACTTTCAAGAGACAGCCCTGATAAATCATGTATGAGATTACTGTACTACTGCTGTTATTGGGTCACTGGATGAAGCATGAGGGAGAGCTGGAGGGAAAGGGTGTATTTTCAAATTCTGCTGTCTTTTGTTTGTTTGTTTTTGCAGGGAAATCAGTGTGTAACTTCTACCGAAAAACTTTCTCATTTCTGATTTCTTGATTCATATATCCGCTCTGTTTGTTAGTACAACTCACTGCAATATATCAATTCTTTGATTGAATTCTGAGCTTTTTGTTTTTCCAGCCTCATTGTATAAACGTCAGAGATTTTAACTGAACAAAGCAGGTTAGATCTCTTACACCTGTCACTTGTTGGTGAGGCTCAGAAAGCTAGAAGGTACATTGGTCAAGAACTGTATTTAAGTTCATGTTGCAATACCTAAATTTGACCAGGAGATGGCAACATTGTTCAACTAGTGTTCTGGTTTGTTTCTCTGGGCTGTTGCTGTTATTTCTATCATTTGTAATGCAAAAATATCTGGTTGTAGCATCTCAAATTTAAATATGTGCTGGTTTCCTCAGGCTTGTGTGATAATGAAATGAAATATCTCTTTTTTTTTTTTTTTTTTCGATTGTGGTCTGTGAGGATGCACCAAATACCCAGGTGACATAGCTGAATACCTGCTTTATGGTAAGAATCAGTATTTTTGTTCATCAGTGACTTCTTTGAATTTGAGTACACAGTTGTGAGCAACTGTTGTTAATCTCCTTTTTTGTTCTGATCACTACTTTTTTTTAGTAAGCTTTTTTTTAAGGCAAAGACATCTGGCACACTTGTCCAAAACATATCTGATGAATGAGCTTCAAAACCAGGTGTTTATGTATGCACATGTGTGCATCTGATGTGTATTATACAGCTGAATTAAAGTGCATTTCTTAAAGATGAACTTCTCTGATCTTTGTTTTTTCCCTTTGTACTCAGATTAAGCTGATTGAGTTTTGTTAGGGTGACGGGTGTCTTGCTGTTATGATTAGAAAAGTGGACAACTTTAGTCTTTCTTAATTGTGATAAAATACATAAAAGCCACCAGCAAAGGTTTTCACTGATCAGGTTAACAGAGACATTTCAGAAGGGAGCGCTGGTCCACCACTCCTGGAGTTTTCCTCTCAAGGGGAACTTTAGCCAGCAGACTATTTATACCTCAGCTGTCTGACTGACTGGCGCCCTGGGAACTGGGACACTGTGTGTGAGTGTGTGTGTCTCGCTGGAAAGATTTCTTTAGGATGATGTGTAGTTGTGTGTGAGGGAGACGGGCAGAGAGAAAGACCTGGGAGGCCAGGGTGACCAGATATGAAATATGCCACCTACTGTGGTCAGATACTGTATGTAGGTCATTTACACATCAAACACAGACTGAAGTGTAAACATGCCATAGGTCCAATGCGCAGATGCAGAGGGAACTTTTTAGCATCACACTAAAAAGATGAGAGTGAGGAAATGAAATGAATGATTTAATAATAATTTAACATTGTTACAAATCAAATGTGCTACATTTGATGCAGGTTTATGGTTAGAAATGACTCAAGGCCATGACATTCCCGCACTTGAGATGTATTTTATTGATGTATATAATCTTACAGTTTCTACTGACCCACACAGCTCACTGTCGCTGATCTAGGACCCCAGTTTGAATTCAACCCCAGTACTCATTTCCTCCCAGTGGCCATCTTACAAGCAGCCTAAATCAGCAGAATAACAACAAAAATCAGTAAAGATGTGTTTGTGTGGATCAGAAATATCAGATGAAAATGGCTGACAATAAGCTCCCCCTTAACCAGCTATGAGAGTAAAATACTGCTTACACATTAACCCATTAGTATGAATAATATAATAATATATAATAGTTTAACAGGCACAGGAGCCATTTTTCTGCATTGAGTATTTTTGCTTTTGATACTTAAAGTAGGATTTACTAATAATGTGTACTTTTATTTTTGCTTAGCTTATACTGAACCCCAACATGGCGCTTATTTATCCAATGGAGCTGCTTGCCTGGCGCATGCACCAAAAAAGTTTCTAGCTTCCATGTTTACTTCCGTGGTATGCGGCCCACTGAATATGTGCAGTAGTGTTTCTCCAGTTGGCCTAAGGTTCCCACTCGGCTCATCGACTTCACATTGTGATGAGGTCATGGATTTTTAATTGTATTTCTCAGCTGGAGGACAGTTTAACATATATAAAACCTCCATGGATCAAAAGTTCATAATGGAAATAGTCATGATTTACCTTGTTTGCAGTTCGAGGTGTCCTGTCCTGTCTCTTTTAAAATGGTGGTCAATAGGGAAAGCGCTTATTGATCTGCGGGGGACTTTTGACCACTGGGAGAATTTGGAAGCAAGGTTTAGCTATGTCCCTGGGAGCCTAGTGCCAAGCTTGTAAGAGAACTATGGAGGCAAACAAAATGCGAATGGCCCTATAGAGCCAGTGTTTGATTTGTCCGATCAGGGCTACTGTAGAAACAACATGGTGGACTCCTTGAGAGGGTGCCCTCTCCAGTAATGACATTAGCACCTTTTTTAATGGAGGACTTTTACTTGTAATGGAATATTTTTTGCACAGGTATTGACTCATTTTACTTATTAAATATAGAATCTGAGTACTTCTTCTATCACTGTTAATAGTAAAATGTATATATTGTATTGTTTACTTGTAATGCCATATTTGTCCTACTGTGCTGGAATTTATTTTATTCAATAACAGAAGTTTGAATATATATTTGTCTGGACATTCATTCAGTCATTCATTTTCTGTAACAGGTACCCTGGTTTTCTGTACATTTTTTGCTATTTAAAAAGAAAGAATTTTCTCAATTTTTTTTTGTCTTTATCTATTTTTAATAGTTGCCTTTCAGTTTATTTTCTTGTCAGCTTTTGCCAATTTCCTGCTCATATTTAGGAAAAAAAAAATCAAACCGGTTCATTCAGGTTTAAAAGGTTTAATTATTAATTAATTTACTTCCTTTCTTTGGTATAGTTGATATTCTGGGGTTATCCTTTGGAGGATATTGGATAGGCAAAAATAAACCTGGGGCTTCAGCCTGTCCCTTTTTTGGTTATTGAGAGTGAGAAAATTTTTGTGGAATGATAAATTAGTTTCTCCAGATAAATGTAACCAAAATAATTAATTATTAATTAATTTAAAAAGCTAATAAGATAGATTATTTAATATTGGCTGTTGAGTTTAGCATATGCTAAAAAATTTCTTTATGGGATATGAAAATAGAGAATAAAATATATGATATGACATAATTTAAATAATTATTGATATTTTAGAAAAGCTTATAATATAAATAATTATTAATTTATACAAAAAGCTAGTAAGATAAATTACCTAATATGGGCTGTTGGATTTTATTTTAATAATTATAATACTAAAAATAATAATAACAATAACTATAATAATAATAATAATAATAATAGAAATTAGATGTTATTTAATTGCGTCTTTATTATGGATTATCATGCACGCGACTCAGCTGGGAGAGACAGGGGGGAGGCGGTGGGATACGTCTCGGGGGCGCGCGCTCCACCGTGGTGACGTCACGGGAGCGCCCGAGCAGTGGGGAAGCCACCAGTGGTAGAGCTGGCAAAAGGACGGAAAGGAGGGAAAGACAGATAGGCGAGAGACAGACAGGAGACAGGAGACACACAGCACGAGACAGGAGGACAAGCCCCGAAAGAGACAGAGCGTCTGACCTAGACTGACCGTTTGTGACGTTACCAAACGTCACTTTGAGGTCTGACAGCAGCGGAATAACTGAGGAGGAGATGTGACTGGCCTTTCTTCTTCTTCTTCTTCTCCTCCTCACACGGAGCTAATTTCACAACCGAGGGGCAGCAGTGTGAACACAGCCGCAGTGAGTATTGGAAGTTAGCTGGCAGTCTTTGTGAGTGTGTGCATGTTTTATTACACAGGCCTACGTGTGTGTGTGCGTGTGTGTGTGTGTTGTAGACATGTTGGCCACTTCTCGGTCAGCCTCACATGTCTGTGTTGACCCGTCGCAGTCACGTCTGTGGACTCAAACGCAACCCCCGCGATAACATAGTTAAAATTTGATGGCTGCTCTGAGGTGCAGCAGTTTCCAGGTCAGCTGTGAGACCCACAGAGAGGCAGGTCTGTTATATCTCCGCCGGGAGGGGAGCAGTGTCGCTACGTGTGTCGGGCCACACTTGTCATCTTGATACATTTTGTATTGTTACTAGACGACAGTGACTTCCTATTTTTTGCCCAGTAAACCAGTTGCAGCTTGTACAGCCAGAGGCTTCCCCCCGGAATAACGAGCTAATAACACTATGTCTCGTCTCTGTACGTCTTAAATGCGATTATCAGTCTGTTCGGTGTGTTGCAGGCTGCAGAAGTAGTGCTGCTGACAGTCCCTCAAAGCCACATATTGCTATCATAATCCTGTAATATTCTCCAACAGCGCCAGTTTAGTGACCATATAGCGGCTGTATCTCCTGTGGTGTCACTGATATTCCCTTGGGGACTTTAAGTGTGCCTGTGGGAGTCAATATTAAGTTTCATCTCCCATGGGGACTTTTAGTTGTGCTGTGATAGTCTCAATCAACATCCAGCTGAACAAATATGTGCATTTCTCTTAAAAGTGTGTTTTAATGCAGCCACAGTTGCACAGCAGCCACGTCCTAAGCAACATGTTAAAACATTTCTGCAAAGCCAAATCAATCTGAGCAAAACTTGGACTCGACATATGACTGTGGTTAAATCTGCTGCGTGTGTTTTGCAATGACCCCGGGGGGGAGAGGGAAAAGCGAGGGGTGGGTATACAAGGGGACGCCGTGATTTCCTTCGTGTTCCGCCCACAGCTCTGTTTCTTTGCACCGCCCCTCCTCCGGGAACACCGAGTCAGGGAACTGAGCCGCTTCCTTCCACTGAGATTGTTGTAAACACTGGACATTTTTAAATGCCCAGGCTCTGCATACCTCAGCCTGCCTTTACGGAAACGTTGCTCCTATACTATTCATACTTTGGGGGTTTTTATTTTGTTGTAGAGTCAGTTTTAATAATCTAAATTTAGCATGGCTTGGCTCATAGATATATTTATCTAATGAACCTTGTGCACAGCCTGAGAGCCTCCTGACTCCTCAACATCAAAGGTAAAAACCTTTGGCTTAAAGGGATACTTTGCTGACTTTCAACCAGCTTTGTACTATGACAGTGTGGGTAGTATGTGTAAATGAACTGTGGTGAACTTCTCTCCATGTAACCAGCACGCAGATCTCCCTGCTCATCTTTCAGCTCGCGTCCATTTCCAGTAGATTTTCGCTGGCTCTAGGGCTGTTGCTCGAGCTATGGATTGTTGTTCTGTATTTTCGTATGCCCGCCACCAGGTACACAAAAGAAACAGATAGAAGAGAGACCTGCCCCTGTTCCTCTTGCAAACTCACATCAAACTGTAGGAAGTGCTGATCAAATATAAACCACAATTATGTTACTGTGTTGCCTATTTCTTGCCTGAAAAGATTTCAGAAACACAGTTCAGTAGGGCTGGATGATACGTACAGGCTGACTGGTGACACACGATATATATCTCGGTATTTCTATTAAATGGGCCATGTTTTCAGTTGAAAGTCAAAGCCACATTTGAGATGTCACACGCTCTTTTATAAAAACAGTCTGTGACCAAACTGAAATGCAAAGACAGTGATTTTATTCCCTGTTTGAAAATACAAGGTTTGCAGCACAGGGCACAAAACTAAAACATGAGTATAAAGGTATCAAGTTGGCCTAAATCCTTGCTGCGGTCATTTCATTCATCTCACAGACTGATTTAGCGCCTCATGTGCAACATATAGACCGATGTCGCACTGTAGACTAATTAACAGATTAAACAGAGTAGCAGCTACGTGTTTCTCTTAGTATTGTTGGAGAACTTGTAAGTGTGTGAGTGGGGCGGAGCTGTGCGTAGAGTGTGGTATGCATTATGTAACGCAACTGGACCCTTTATCGATATAAACGGTGTTGTCTAAATTTATATCTTGTGTGAAAATATATTATATATTATACATGGTAGTTTTATCGCCCAGCCCTACATTTTGGTGCACTGTTAGGCTGTAATATAAGAATTTGTGAACAGGAAGTGGGCGCCATACTGTTTCCTGCACTGTAATAATGGAGGCTAAAAAAACTGAGATAAAATGGTAAAACTAAGCAGTGCTGATCAAATACGAACCAAGATTCTGCTACTGCGTTGCGTTTCTCTTTCCTTAAATGTTTTCAGAAACATAGTTTAGCTTACTGTTTAACTATAATTCATAATAGGCCGCCATATTGTTTCCTGTGACAAAAAGTCAAGCTCGCATTACGTCACCCACCAGTGCGTTTATTGCAGTTCATTCTGGTAGTTGTAGGTTGAGCAAAAGCAAGTGCCACAGACCTTTTCCTCTGTCTTCTCTGGTCGTGTAGCACCAATTACAAAAGTATTTACGTCTTTCTGCTGCATAGACAGCCCAGTTTGATATAAAGACCATCTCTCCAGCAGTGAAATACTCAAGGGTTTGCAACAACATGAGGAACTTAAGGGAATACTTCACCAATTTGTAAATCAATAAATCACGCTGTGTTACCTCGAACTTGTGAAGAAAATGTTTTTCTCACATGCCTCCATGGAAAATGGTGAACATATTGATTGATTAATTGATTGAGGAACACATTTAACAAACTATATTAAAACATCCGTTTACAAACTCTCACACAACTCGTCTGATGTAATCCAAGTCTAGTTTATCCAGTCGTATGCAGTCGAGCAAACATTTTTGCTAAAATCCCTAGTGTTTAAAACTGAACCAAAAGTGAAACTTATCAATGCTCTCTTCAAACCAAGACTCCAATACTAAGGTTTGTTTTAAGTTAAGGCGAACTTTAATGTCCCAGAGGGGCAATTTGAGACACAGACAGAAGTCATGAGTGCAACAAAACAGACAGTACAGTATCCAGTATCACACACTGTCAGGGGTAAATCATGCACATCAGTGGTCACTTCTGGTTAAGATAAGGGATAACACATGGGACAAAGTACTATCTGTAAGGCTTAGTGCTGCGTTTAGGGAGGCAAAACGTCCGCCCCGATGGAGGCATCTGAAACATGGAGGGGATGTTGAGCGTCTGAGACACTAGACCATGCTTTAGATGTGACCCTCAACCTACAAATGGTGTAGGTTATTAAAGGTAACACCAGTGATCTTACAGCACAACTTGACCACTTTGTCCTGCTTATTCTTGTTTTTAAGGCTCAGATTACCAAACCAGTGGAAAATGTTAAAAGAAAGAACAGACTTATTAAAGGTGGAATAGAAGATGTTAGTGAACTACTGATTATACAACTGGATAAATGAGACATGGATTATACTGCAGAGGTTGTGTGAGAGTTTGAAAATGGATGTTTTGATATAGTTTCGTGGTCCCCAATCAACTAGTGAATCAATATGCTTGCAGTTTACTGTGGAGGCATGTGAAAACATTGAAAACATTTACTTGACAAATTCAAGGTAATATGGAATGACTAACTGATCTACAAATGGTCACTGTGTGGCTGAATTATCCCTTTAATCTCACAAAGACAGTAGCTCTTTCAGATTGCTTTCCAGAACTCAATTTTATCACAAGACCAAAATCTTTGACGCCTTGTGTGCTGTTTATTTATTCAACTTGCTTTATCACTTTGCCAGGGGTAGGATTTATTTCTGTCACCTCTATCATTGATTTTCAGGGGGTGTTTGAGTCACCTTCCAAGCTCACTTCATCCTTATTTAACCTGGCAAGTTGACGGTACGAGCACATTCCTCTTCACAGGACGAGCCTTGGGGGGAGTTTCACTCTCACTTTCTCTTCCATTAACTACTACACACTCCCCGAATTAGTTTTGTGCTTCCCTGCCTTTGTGTTAATTGTCGAGTATCAACGGTACATTTTCCATATTTGCCATGTAGGCAGCAGCCGAGATTAGATAAGTGCGCCGTGTTTGCATGGCATCGGTGTACTTCTTCTGCGGCAGTGTATTCATGTACATGGATGTGTGTGTGTGAGTCACAGTGTGTGTGTGAGTGTCTGATTGTATGCTCGTTTTTGTTTGCCCAGCCTGCATCTCAGATTAATTTCCTGTGGTACACAATAGACTGGAGCTGATGCTATCGGTCTCTTATCAGGGTTGTGCTTTCCAGTGTCTGAACCATATTATATGTCTTATCGCTGATAGGACTGGTGGCACAGAATGAAGTTAAAAGTAACACACACACTCTGGTGAGCCAAAATCTGTATCTTTCCCAGACATCTTCTGCCTGATATTTTTTCCCATGTGTAATTGGGCTGCTCTGTTAATTGAAAAACAAACCCTTGCAGTTTTGGCTATTCCAATATCCCTTTTACCAGATTAGTTGACTTTTCTGTCTTCTCTCTATCTCTGACAAAAAAAGTTTCATTTATGAAGTCTTTTAATTCCACATAAATCCTGTAGAAATGACTATAGATGTGTTGCAATTCAGTTACAACTGCATAAATCAGCACAAAGCTATAATTATGATTTGTCATCAATAACATGCCCCAACATGGAGACAATATCTTGTTTCTGTATGCGGAACAAAGCCAAACCACTAATACAATGCTACTCAAAAGCAAACAGCAGCATTGCATGAGCTACGCATTACGCAGCATTGCTAAATGGGTCCTAGTCAAATACATCATAAAGCAGTGAGAAGCTGCACTGTGGGTGACCTGTTGCCTTTATTTATCAAACCGCTAAACATGAAATTGTGGACTCTGGGATGTGTTTCCTCTGGTGCTATTTTCAGTCTGGGTTGATCTGGTGTGAGTTGCCAAGTGTTGTAGATAGATGTCTGCCTT